TTTTTGGGCACTATTCGTTTGACTGGCTGTGGCTACCCAGGTTTTCCCACTGATGGTATTTTTTGTCCCCTTATGGTGTGTCATTTAAATATAGCTTCCCTTTCCTGCAAAAATAATTTCAACGGGACAAAACTTCAGGTGGGATTTCATTTATCCTTTTGCACCAGGGACGGCACTTCAGGGTGGTCACATTACGTCTCCCAGATTTCCGCAATCTCCCAATACTATCATTATGTCCCAGGGCTGGGTCTCCGCTTCCCATGTATTCTGGACAGTATTCCAGTTGTGCCCCTTTACTGTCTCATTCCTATCAGCCCTTTATGACCAACATGGAGCTCCCACCAGGTTTTTTTTGGGAATACATGGCCAGTATTGCTAGGGAGTACCTTTTGCTCCAGTATTTTTGTTTGCAATATTGGTTTTAGTTGAAAGTTTCCCCCACTACGGCTTTGTCCCTATGAAAGTCATTTTATGCATCCTTCCTGTTAATACCCTCGGATTTAGTCCACAAATTTATCTCCCTTTGGGCATACCAAGGACACACCTTCCAGTTTACATTACTGTTGGTAGCAGTTCTGAACTTCACAACTGGCTCGGACAGAAATTTCCAGCTTTACCATTTTGGAAGCCCGTTGTTTCATTTATGTAGACACACCTCAGCTTCCATTATGTTCCGGAAGCTTCAGAATTTACTGACTTCCAGACTCAACCTCCTGCTTATCTGTTAATAATACTCCAAGTATAAGCGTCTAGCCTAATCTGTATTTCTCTTTGTAAAACTTCCAGGTTTTATAACAGGAGTTACCTGGTAATGTTGGGAATTTTAGTGTTTTCCCTTTCATACCTAAAACACTTCCCTGTAACTGCTTGTGCTAGTCTGGATCTGCCAAGGGGCTGCACCTTTAAAAGGCATTTACCTGGTGGAGCCTTTGTTTGCTTTAAGACTGCACAGTAGCTCTGTTGAATGGTTGCTCTGTAATTCACTGAAACCTTTGTACTCTGGTATACACCTCTTTATGTAAAATTGCACCTGTAGTTGCTGGTGCACTGTACTCTTTAAGACTGCACCTGGGTGTTAGGGTATGTAGGCTTCATGCCTAAGACTGCACCTGTAGCGTGCAGGTGCAGCTGCACTGCCTAAGACTGCACCTGTAGCGTGCTGGTGCAGCTTCTCTGCCTAAGACTGCACCTGTAGCCTGCTGGTGCAGTGCTCTGCCTAAGACTGCCCTGTAGCCTGCTGGTGCACCTGCTTTGCCTAAATGCACCTGTAGCTGCTGGTGCAGCTGCTCTGCCTAAGACTGCACCTGTACCCGTGTGGTGCAGCTGCTCTGCCTAAGACTGCACCTGTAGCGTGCTGGTGCAGCTGCTCTGCCTAAGACTGCACCTGTAGCCTGCTGGTGCAGCTGCTCTGCCTAAGACTGCACCTGTAGCCTGCTGGTGCAGCTGCTCTGCCTAAGACTGCACCTGTAGCCTGCTGGTGCAGCTGCTCTGCCTAAGACTGCACCTGTAGCGTGCTGGTGCTGCTGCTCTGCCTAAGACTGCACCTGTAGCGTGCTGGTGCTGCTGCTCTGCCTAAGACTGCACCTGTAACCTGCTGGTGCAGCTGCTCTGCCGGGACACCAAAACTGCGCAGTAAAGTTAATGATCATTGACCAGCAAATCCAAGACAATTTCCATGGAATTATATTTTATGTGGTAATGTAAATATGTAATTTAATTTGTTTTATCCCACTGTTTCTTAAATGACTCAATAAAAAACATTATTAATGCAGTAGACAGTCATTTAGCACGAGTTTATTTAGCACGATTTGGGTATAGCATGACTGAAGAATTGCGGCACAATTTTATATAACACGTCGTGTGATGAATTTAACATGGTTCAGTTTACGGGAAGGAAAAAAAAAAACTTCCCTTTTCCTTAAGCTGCCGCCATGTTGTGGTTCATCTGGGGAGACCTCCCCCCATCCCCCACCCCCCCCCGACACCACCCCACCATCCCAGTATTCAGTATACTTCATACGTGTCCAGTCCAACTTCTCTGCTACAAGCTTGTGATTGTTAATTGTATTTTGATCTTTTAATTGCTATATCTTGTATCTGGCAAGCAATCATGACACCCAGTAAGCAGACCAGTGTTGCTCAAAGTGGCAGGAAAATGTGTACATATTTATGTCTTAGAATTAGCGAAGGAAACAAAGATATTACACAAGACATAACCTGTGGCCTTAATGAAGTGTTACTTTGATCACTTAAAAAGAGGTAAACCTAAGTTTGTGTGACTGAATGATTTACTGAATGACTGACTGAATGACTGACTGAATGACTGACTGAATGACTGACTGACTGAATGACTTACTTACTCAATGACTGACTGAATGACTGACTGAATGATTGACTGACTGAATGACTGACTTACTCAATGACTGACTGAATGACTGACTGAATGACTGACTGAATGACTGACTTACTCAATGGACTGAATGATGATGATGACTGACTGAATGACTGACTGACTGAATGACTGACTTACTGAATGACTGACTTACTGACTTACTGAATGACTGACTTACTGAATGACTGACTTACTGAATGACTTGATTGACTTACTGAACGACTTGACTGGCTTTTTGAACGACTTGACTGACTTACTGAACGATTTGACTGAATTACTGAATGACTTGACTGACTTACTGAATGACTTGACTGACTTAATGAACGATTTAATTGATTTACTGAATGACTTGACTGACTTAATGAATGACTTGAGACTTACTGAATCATTTGACTGACTTACTGAATCACTTGACTGTCTTACTGAATCACTTGACTGACTTACTAAACGACTTGACTGACTTACTGAATGACTTGACTGACTTAATAAATGACTTGAGACTTACTGAAGCATTTGACTGACTTACTGAATGACTTGACTGAATGACTTAAAGTTAGACACTCCAGTACAACCATCAACTTCAGTACCAGAACCTCTACCATCCACCTCAGCCCAGTAGGACCACAACATAACTCTCCACTCTCTTCACAATCATCCACAAACACCAGCATCCACAATTTAAGGTGAGAAATATTATTATTTCTGTTACATTTGTAGTCTTAAACAGTAAACACAACATAATACATCACAACAATGAACTACAATTACATATTCACTTTTATTTTCATAAGATGTGGAGGCCTAAAAAAAGTTGTTTCGCTTTTTCGGGGCTCTCGGGAACGTAACCCTATTTTTCCCATAAGTTCTTCAGTTCATCTTACACGTTTCGCTCTCCAGGAGCTTTGCCAAGCTGTTACAAACAGTACATGGACACAGAGGGTATATATTATAGGCTCAGAGTGAGGTGCAATTCTAGTGGTAGTAGTAGTAGTAGTAGTAGTAGTAGTAGTAGTAGTAGTAGTAGTAGTAGTAGTAGTAGTAGTAATACAATATGTTAGAACAATTAACTTGCACATGAGTAAAAGGATATAAAAGCTATTATTTGAAATATTTGTCTAACCTATTTTTATGTTTCCCAAGTAACAGCTTTTATATCCTTTTACTCATGTGCAAGTTAATTGTTCTAACATATTGTATTACTACTACTACTACTACTACTACTACTACTACTACTACCACTACTACTACTACTACTACTACTACTACTACTACTACTACCACTAGTATTGCACCTCTCTCTGAGCCTATATATACCCTCTGTGTCCATGTACTGTTTGTAACGTCTTGACAAAGCTCCTGGAGAGCGAAACGTTGCCACAATAAAATGTCACATTAGTTGCACTTGTGTCCTTCTACTTTACATACTTGCCATCTGTTTCCCCAAGCTGATATAGCTCTTAGCTGGTGGTTGATACAGCTTAGAGCAGCTGGTATTTCTTCTCTTGGATAAGTGAATGTCAGTGTACAGTCATCTGCATGGGATTTTTGGGATGAGATGAAGAAGGCCATTGAAGTAGACATTCCATAACAATGGTCCCAGCACACTTCCTTGTGGAACACTTACTCCAGTTGGATGTCTTGCTGATTCCATTCCATTGAGAACTACCCTTAGAGATCTACTATGAAGGTAATCACAGAGGAGTCATAGCGTAGAGCCTGCAATTCCTAGAGATTGCAGTTTTGTTAAGAGGCCCTGGTGCCACAACTGGTCGAAAGCATCAGCAATGTTCAGTGCTACCACACAGATGTCTTTGGATTCATCCAGTGACTGGTGCCACTTAGTAGAGAGGTTTAGCAACAGATCAGCAGCAGAGTAACCTTTCCTGAAACCATATTGACTGTCACAAAGTAGTGAGTGGTAGTCAAAAAACTCTGTCATTTGTCTTGAGATTATTGTCTCAAGGATCTTGACAGGAGTGACACTGGTCTGTAGTCGCTGATTTCTGCTCTGCTCTTCTTTTTGTGAACAGGGACTACATTTGCCTCTTTCCACAGAGAAGGCCATTTACACTGTGCTAGGCAGTGCTGAAAGATGCGAGTTAGATGTGCTGATAGTTGGTCTGCACATCTTCCCAGCAATCTTGGGCTCAACTTGTCTGGGCCAACAGGCTTTTCTTGGTCAAGCGATTTAAGAAGGAAATACACCTCCTCCTGCCTTATTGTCACCACTGATAGTTTTGACACAGTTCTTGCAACTAGCCAAGGAGGGTCCCTTGCTGGATCAGGAACTTGCATTTTGGTAGCAAAGTGCTCGGCAAAGAGGTCCGCCTTCTCTTGACTACTAGTAGAGGTGGTTCAGCGCTGTATAGCCCTTCTGGCTTAGCGCTTCTTTCTTGATTATAATAATAATAGTAGAGGTGGTCCCATCCTGTCGATTTAGAGGTGAAATGAGTTCATCAGGCAGATAACCTTGTATGTCCTTGACCAGGGACCACCATGTTTTGGAGCCTACTCTACCTGATGCTAGCTTTCTCTCTCTCTCTCTCTCTCTCTCTCTCTCTCCTCTCTCTCACACACACTGATAGAAATTAGGAAGGCTAATACTTACCACCCTTTTGGTCAGATGTGGATGGAGTGAGGAGGGTGAGGAAGCTCAGAGCAACAATTACGAGCAACAATGTTGTATCCATCTTCAGACTCCTGGCCAGCTAGCCTCCACCTCCACCACCAACATAACTCACTTCATCCCGTTTCACTTCCACTGTAATAGAATTTCTTTGATTCCTCTTCATTTACTTAAACCTGATTTTTGTTATAGTATCAATTCATATTTCTATTCTTTTTTATTTATCTAAGGTTTATAATTAACATTTCGAGCATCTCATGTTCCTGTTTTAAGGAATATTAATGATTGTTTCCTGGTTCCAAGTGAGACTTGTTCTTATTTTTATGTCTCATCTAACCTGCTTGAAATCAAGAAGAATATATACACTGGGTAGACACTGTTTATTTTAATCTAATTTTAAGACCTGAGGAATTCTTGACAGGTCGACAAGTAACATGAAGCCTCAATAACTCCTTGAGACTTTAATTTATATTTACCCATCTTCTTAGAAGCCTATATACACTCATTGACTCTATAATTTATATAGTTTACAATAGGTATTTTTTAGAACTTAGTATTTTCTGTAATTAACAAAAAGAGATATATTTTTCTTTTAACCCAACTGTTATTTATCTTGAATGAAACTGAAAATTGTCCAGTTGTCACTTGTTCATTATTATATATTAATAAGTCTAAATCGAAGATTTTAACAAACACCACCACTATATCAGGGAAAATTTGGTAAGAGAATTTGCATTTCTTTATCCAGTTTCTGGAATTCTTAATGATGTCACTGTCTTCTCATTAACTGTTATCCTGAAGTCAATTTCTTCTTTCATTTGTTTCTTTGAAGTGTAGAAGTTGTCTTCAAAACATCTTGTTCCTAACAGGAAAGAAAAGCAAATATTATTTATTAGTATTAATATATTATTATTAGTAATAATAGTAGTATTAGTAGTAATATTTTAAGCTGTAATAGCAGTAGTAGCAGTTGCACTAGTAATACTAGTAGCAGTAGTAGCCGTTCAAATCAATTATACATGTGAAGTTATATAACCTGCTGTACTCTTAACACACATCACATATAACGAACATCCACATAAAAACTGAACTATGTATCCCTTAACTGTTCTTAGTAAAATAATTATATTTATAATGCTTACTTCTTCTAAGTTATTTAAAAAAAGAGGTGGGAAATGTCTGAAGACCTGGGAAATGTCTGAAGACTTGGGAAATGTCTGAAGGCCTAGGAAATGTCTGAAGACCTGGGAAATGTCTGAAGACCTGGGAAATGTCTGAAGACCTAGGAAATGTTTGAAGACCTGGGAAATGTTTGAAGACCTGGGAAATGTTTGAAGACCTGGGAAATGTTTGAAGACCTGGGAAATGTTTGAAGACCTGGGAAATGTTTGAAGACCTGGGAAATGTTTGAAGACCTGGGAAATGTTTGAAGACCTGGGAAATGTCTGAAGACCTGGGAAATGTCTGAAGACCTGGGAAATGTCTGAAGACCTGGGAAATGTCTGAAGACTGGGAAATGTCTGAAGACCTGGGAAATGTCTGAAGACCTGGGAAATGTCTGAAGACCTGGGAAATGTCTGAAGACCTGGGAAATGTCTGAAGACCTGGGAAATGTTTGAAGACCTGGGAAATGTTTGAAGACCTGGGAAATGTTTGAAGACCTGGGAAATGTCTGAAGACCTGGGAAATGTATGAAGACCTGGGAAATGTCTGAAGACCTGGGAAATGTCTGAAGACTTGGGAAATGTCTGAAGACTTGGGAAATGTCTGAAGACTTAAGAAATGTCTGAAGACTTGGGAAATGTCTGAAGACCTGGGAAATGTCTGAAGACTTGGGAAATGTCTGAAGACCTGGGAAATGTCTGAAGACTTGGGAAATGTCTGAAGACTTGGGAAATATCTGAAGATCTGGGAAATGTCTTAAGACCTGGGAAATGTCTGAAGACTTAAGAAATGTCTGAAGACCTGGGAAATGTCTGAAGACCTGGGAAATGTCTGAAGACCTGGGAAATTCATGATCACCTGGGAAATGCATGAAACCCTGGGAAATGCATGAAGCCCTGGGAAATGCATGAAGACCTGGGAAATGACTGAAAACTTGGGAAATGCATGAAGACCCGGGAAATGATTGAAGGCCTGGGAAATGCATGAAGACCTGGGAAATGCTTGAAGAGGTGGGAAATGAAAAGGTGTGGAATGTATGAACAATAATTTTCCTAATTTCCAAGATTATAAATTATAGTTTAGCAAATCAATGTTTTAATATTTCTAGCTAGTAATAGTGCAACTTAAAATTAAAGTTAAGAATATGTTACTTATAATGTGCAACATTATAACTAGTAATGTTATAACTAGTAATATTATAACTAATAATGTTATAACTAGTAATATTATAACTAGTAATATTAGTTTGGAACCTTAACATTATTTTCATTATAACTGAAAAGACAAAATAGAAAATGCTAAAATACCTATAACTAAACATTATCTTATTATTATTATTATTATTATTATTATTATTATTATTATTATTATTATTATTATTATTATTTATTATTATTATTATTATTATTATTATTATTTTTATTATAGAGCTACAAGCTATAATCATGCATTAATTATAGCCTAACATAGACAACAGTGTATGAAAATCAATCTTGAAGAAAAAATCTAAAAGAGAGAATTAGATTTTTCATGAAATATATTTATTTTAATTTTTTTCATATTATGTTGCATATTATTGCTAAATGACGTAAATATTTATATTGATCAACTAACTCATGGTGGTTTAAAATATATAATATATATATATATATATATATATATATATATATAATATATATATATATATATATATATATATATATATATATAAAGTAGTGATGAATGCGGCTGAGCGGTCTCTGCGGCTGAGTGGCTCGGGGCTGAGTGGCTCCCTTTCCTGAGTGGACTCCCACTACCCCCCACCCACGACCCCCACCCACGACCCCCACCCACGCCCCCACCCACGACCTCCACCCATGACCCCACCCACGACCCCCACCCATGACCCCACCCACGACCCCCACCATGACCCCACCCATGACCCCACCCACGACCCCCACCCACGACTCCCACCCACGACCCCCACCCACGATCCCCAGGAGCTGAGTGGCTCCTCCTGAAAAGGGCTGCGGCTGAGCGGTCTCCTTTTCACACCTTTATCCCTCGTCGGGATAAAACATCTCTAGGTGATATACGGATGAATAAGGAAGGATGCTTCAGGGTTGATGTGGATGAGAAATATGATATGTAGCATAGGTGAGAAATGATAAATGTGGTATGAATATTTAGTTTGAAAGAAAATGTGTAAAACAGTTTTATTTTTTGATGATTATAACAAATTTGGTGGGTAAATTGTATTAATATTTTTAGTTGATGAATAGTTTACATGAACTTAGTAAAGTGATTGTGTATTAGTTGGAGGTGTGTGACTTAGTTCTGGTAATGTCTCATGACATGGTAAATTTTTTTGTGCTTATGTCTTATATTTATTGTCAATATGTCAAGTATAGGTTTTGGTGTATGTCTTAGTTATGATGTGTATGTCTTAGTTGGAGGTGAATGTCTTAGATTTGGTGTGTATGTCTCATGTCTTAAATTTGTGATTGAAATGTATAAGTTGTGGGTGTGTGTGTATTATTTTTTTTTTGGTGATGGGTGATATGTTATAGTGCTCATGTTATGTTATAGATGTTGGTGGAAGTGTCGTGGTATTTTTTGTGTATGTCTTATTTTTGTGCGAATGTTTAAAAAAATAAGTGTTTTCTGTGATATTAGTGATTTTTGAGGTAAGTGAACATGGGTGATTGTTGTTGTTGGTTGTCTTAGATTTATGTGTGTACAAGATATGTTTTCAGTTGATGGTGATCATGTACTAAGTGTCTGTGTATTAGGTTTGTGTTCAAGTTTATCTTTTTTTTTGCGCCCATGGGGAGGGAGTTCTTGGTTATAGTGATTTGAGGGAATTTCTATAAAATGGGTGTTAGCTGGTGATGCTAAACTTAGTTTCTGGTGATTTTGATGGTGTTTTGGTAGTATTCAGTGGTGGTTTGGTAGTAATCAGTAGTGTTTTGGGAGTATTCAGAGGTGTTTGATGGTGTTTTTGAAGGTGATCAAATGATGTGCAGAGTATTTTTGAAGATGTTCAGTGGTGTTGGGGACACAGTATGATTATGCTTTTAAGTCAATAATGAGAAAATATTTAAGTTAACAAGAAGAATACTGAGTTTTTTTTTTTTTTGCGCTCATATTATATCTTAGTTGGAGGTGAGTAGGATCGTTTTGGTTATAGTGATTTGAGAGGATTTGTGTGAAAATGGGGGTTAGTCTGTGATGTTGATCTTAGTTTATGGTGATTTTGGTGGTGTTTTGACCATATTCAGTGGTGTTTTAGTAGTATTCAGTGGTGTATTTGGGAGTATTCAAATGGTGTTTGAGACTATTCAAAGGTGTTTTTAAAGGTGTTCAAATGATGTGCAAGAGTATTTATGAAGGAGTTCTGGGAGTATTCAGTGGTGATTTGGGGGTGTTCAAATGATGTTTTTGGAGTATTCAAAGGTAATTGATGGTGTTTTTGGTGTTGTTCAAAGTAAAGTGACTGAGTTAGTTTTGTGATACTGTTGTAAAAATCTGGAGAATGAGGGAGGAGTTTTGGGGATGAGTTGTAATTTAATGAAATAATATAAGTGTAGATAAATTAGAGATGTCAAATCTTATTTGGGAGTATTCAAAATGTTGTCTTGGAAATGTTTTAGTGTTGTTTGGAAATGTTCAAAGGTGCTTTTGTGAGTATTCAAATGATTTATGAGAGTGTTTTGAAGGTGTTCAAAGTAAAGTGAGGTGTGTGTGTGTGGTCATCACGTGACGTCACTGACATAGGGGGAAGTCGACAAGATTCAGCCTGTGTGTGAGGTCGTCGCGTGATGTCACTGACCGCCGAGTAAACACATGTGGGGTGACGTCACACTTGTTTAGACCTGTAGTAAGAGAAAGTACCATGCCCCATAGGAGGAGTTCATTTGAATGCTTACCCCTAGAGGGGGAATCCAAAAAACTTGATCCAAGGAGATGGAGTCTCTGTATTATCGAGAAAAACTTGATCCAAGGAGATGGAGGAGGAATGTTTGGGGTAGAAGTGGATGGTGGGGGAAATCTTTGTATTATTGATATAGAGAAAAACTTGATCCGAGGAGATCATAAGAATTTCGAAACCCCAGAGGGGGGAATCCAAAAAACTTGACCCGAGGAAGTGGAGCCTTTGTATTATCGAGAAAAACTTGATCCAAGGAGATGGAGGAGAAATACTTGGGGTGGAAGTGGGAGTCCATTTTGAATGCTTACCCCAGAGGGGGGAATCCAAAAAACTTGATCCGAGGAGATGGAGTCTTTGTATTATCGAGAAAAACTTTGATCCGAGGAGATGGAGATCATAAGAAATTAAAAAAAAAAATCGAAAAAATTTGGGATGGGGGTGAAAGTGGGAGGGGGAACCTCAAAAACTTGATCTGAGGAGATGGATACCACAAGAAAATGAAATTAAAAAAAAAATTCGAAAAAAATCGGGAAAAAATTCGGGGCGCGGGGGCGATCCGGACGACGCTGCAGAAGGCACTGCAGAAGGTGCGGGTGGGTGCGAGGGCGAGGGCGGGCGGGCGCGAGGGCGCAGCAGGCGGGCACATGGGGCGCAGGTGGGGGCATGGGTGGGGGGCTGAGGGCGAGGTGGTCGAGGGTGAGGTGGTCGAGGGTGAGGTGGTCGAGGGTGAGGTGGTCGAGGGTGAGGTGGTCGAGGGTGGGGGGTCGTGGGTGGGGATCG